GTCGAATGTGAACCTGGACAAGCGAGAGAGTCGGTCAATCTTAGAGACTACCTCAAGTGTGAGCAATGCCGAAAAGATGGGAAGAAATGTGTATCCCTCAGCATATCCCTTCAAAATGCACCGGAGGTTCGCTTTGAAAAATGTTCTAGGTGTACACGACTCGGCCATGCGTGCGGACCACGTGTAAGAGCATCCGGACGACGGAAACGGACGATAGTCGACGGTGAGAGCTTCCCAAGCGATGAAGATGCCCGACACTCTATTTGCGAGGTGCTACAATCAGCCAATTCTGCGCTTTTGGTGCGAACCACATCAAAGTCAACCTTTTCAGCCAATCTAGACAGATTAGCCGACTGTCTCGCATCGTATCAAGTCCTTCTCCGTTGTCGCGCCGAGCTTGGTTCACTGCTGAGAAGGCTACCTGAAGATGTCGTCCTCCAACAGCACGATGAATGCTTGAGGTACTTGGTGGTAAGGTTGAATCTAGAGTATCAAAGCATCTTTGCAGGTTTTCCGGCCAACAGTGATCAAGCGGGTCAAAGTGCTGATTTGAAGCCTTTGCGAATATGTGAGAATCTGAAACTAAGATGCTATATTATGCAGCTGCAGCACCTACGTCTGGACAGCATATTTCTGCCTCTCGAACGAGGTACAACAACCATGGCATGTTTAGATTCGACCAGTGAGATTCTTTCGGTTCTGGCTGGACATGCACTATTCTCTACTACCGAGCAAATTGTTAACGGGATCGACCCAGTCAAGCTTTGCTTGAACAAGGATGCATTCGGCGCTGCAAGGCTTCAGAGTGAGCACTACAAGAAAGCTCGGACACAGCTGGAATGCTTTCTTTCGGAATGCTTGCAAAGGAAGAGTCCGCCTGGCAAAGGATTGACAAAGAAACATGGCAGCTATGACAATACTGAAGTCTGCATCAGCTTTCCTGCATCCCATCTTGCATACTGGAACCTCGACAAGGAAGCTGCCTTCGAGATCTCCATTGAGAATGGAAGCCTTGATCTGCCAGTGAATACAATGGGGCAGACGCTGGTACACATCGCTGCGCAAGCAGGTGACATAGGCTTCTTGAAACGACTGAGAGACTTTGACGAGAGTGTGTTTGCGATGGCGTCGACGATCGGATGGGGATACACGGCAATAGATTTGGCAACGATACTTGACGATAAAGATACTTTCAGATTGCTTGTTGGGCACGGTGTTGAGTCTTTTCCCTGGATAGAGCATCTGGTCCATCTTGCGTTCGCTGCTAACAGCCCGTCAATTGTCAGTTGCATCCTGCACGATGGCAGAATAGTTTCACCACCCTACACGGCGATGGTCGAAGAAGCGATCGAGCGAGATCTCGAGGACGTTGCTCTGGCTTTCCTGCCATACTTGAAAGATCCCTGGACAACGGCATGTGAGATCGGAATACTGATAGAGCAGGCCAGGCAGAAGCAGAAGGAGAGAATCGTGTCAGGGCTCCGAGCTCTATCAACGCCTTCCAGAGCACCAGATCCAATTACAGCAGTCAATGCGGCGGCATCCTTGAGGCGGCATTTAGCTTTCCTCACAGACACCCACAGATCCGATGCCTGAAGTCGCAGACCCAATTGGTCATTTGCCTTTCGGCCATCTTCATTCGTTTAACAGCAATCATCCATCTCTATCCAGTGATGGATGGCAATGATCTTTTGGTGTCTGTGGTTGTGTGGTAGTTTACCGGTTTGGAGTGAATACAATTCAACTACATCTCGTAGTTGTTTGTGGTTGTATTGGGATGTAATCGTTTGCAACATCTTCTCGGCGAGCAAGCCCGGCGTATGGTGTTGTGGCCAAGATTACAAAGTTTTGAAAACATATCAACCTAGACGACTGTCAGCCCTGACAAAGCCATCGTATTGCAATTTTCTTTGAAATGTGCCGTGCCGTGCCGTGCCATGACCTAATAGGCCCTCTTGTTAGTGTTCGACCTAACCTAGGCGCCCCGATACCATACCACAATCGCTGCATGAGGTGCTCCCCATGCTCTCTTTCAACCAGCCTGGTGTGCCTCGGTTTCCTTTTAATCTCGATTTCAGGTGGAGTATTTCCATACCGAAGCGATTCATCACCATCTCGCAAGACTTTCTGTCGCAGCACCACGTTCCTAGTCTTTCAATCGCCATCGTGCAAGATCAAGAAACAACGTCCACAGGATTCGACTACGCACAGCAGGCACCCTCCTCAAAACAGTCCTCGTGCTCCAAATCGCTCACCGCGGCAGCAGTTATTTTACTCATTGATGATGTAGGTTTTCCTCAACTACAGTACGACGCAAGCATACATGATCTTCTGCCTGATGACTTTGTCATGTCCGTAGATGACCACACTCGCACAGTCACGCTCGAATATGTCCTGAGCCACAAAACTAGTATGCCCTCGTACGTTCATTTCGTGTACTGGTCCGAAAGACAATGGACGTACGAACTCTAGTAGACATAGTGGCCGCTGCTTGAAAATATACGACGCTCGTTCTGCTACGGGAAATTTATGGCACTTGGCTGGGGCAGCGCTTCCCCACTCCCAATACCTATACTGCAACATGATGTACGCCGTCGCCATCCATACTGTCGGACTAGGCAGTCTTTCGTCAAGTTTCAATGACGACAATCTTTGCCTCAATCAATATGACATCTACTTGTCTGCATCTAATGCGAGGTGTTCAATTACTGCATGCCCGGATGCCCCCTGAACCCGGCTCGATTATGATTGCATCTCTTGCTATAATAGTCCCAACTCATCCTCTTGCCTCGACATCACGACTTGCTTCACTCTTCCTCCTCTTTTTCGCTGGGACTTCTGCGTTACTTACGGGCCTTACAAATCCACCTTCCTCTTTGTCTTCACCCTTCTCCGGCCACAGAATTTGCTTTTGTATGACGGCTCGGACCATCATTCCCACCACGAAAACCCACATCGCAACCAGTAATCCAGTCATCACGCATCCTAGTATTCCTAGCGCATGAATATCAAAAGCTTCCGCTACCCTAAACGTAGCCGTGACAAGTGCTGTCTGTGGGAAGATGTAGCTGTACCACGTCATCGCGAATGGAATTTTGTGACCGTGGATGTGGGTGTGTTCCTTGCCATCGGAGTTTTTCCTCTTGTCCTCCCGACGGTGAGACCGGGAATGTGTCCAAAGAGGTTCAACGTTGGAGATAACGCTGACGAAGAAGAACCAGAGTGCCAGCCCCCATAACCAAAGGCCCATCCAATTTCCGATGAGCCTTAGAACCTGCGCAGCCAATTCAGCTGGCACGTCCATGTAGACTTTACTTGGCTGATTCGCAATGGCACGATGAAGGTTCTGCGCCATGCCGATGGTGCCGCTGCATGTGAACGCTGCGGGACCAACCGAGACGAACATACCTGGCCTTGAGGGATCAGCTGGAAGTTTTTGCGTCATGAGGCGGTATATGAATGCCGAATAGATCGTTAGGCTCACGAGGAATCCAATTCCTTGGACCGTGAAGCCGCCTACGATCACTTGAAGCGATGTTGTTGGATTGGCGACCTTGCCGGAGAGATTTGCGGCGTGCGGACCGATGATGAGGAGTGGGTAGGCCGGGAAGATCCAGATGGGAGTCATTTGCGCGATAGTGAAGGTTAGGCTGGACCAGAGGATCATGTAGATTGTTATTGATAGGGTTACTGCCAGTGCGACATTGATCCAAAACAGGACTAGAACTGTTGTGGTGAGCCATTCACCTGTATTGTTTGCTCCATATTCGACGATTGTGACGCAGATTGTGCCGAAAGAGACCAGAAAGGCTGGAACGAAGAGTGATTCAGTTGGATGAACGAGGGATAAACGAAACGTGTTCGGATGATTGATGAAGCGCGTGAGAAGCATGGCCCATATTATGACATATAGGACAATGTTCAAAAAGAAGAACATAAGGCCAATATAATTGATCCATCTAGCTTGGAAGGGTACTGTGTAATCAATCAGTTACTGTCACATATTGAGCAAGGGAAAGGGTGTCATATTGTTGGACGACCCATGAATCAACGTACTGTTATGAAGCACATTTGCAATACCTCCCGTCGCCATGGTCATAGTAAAGTAAGCCCAAGTCGTATGCTTGAGTCGTCTTCGCCATGGTAGATGTTGCTTGTCATGATCGTCCTTGCGATCAGGTTCAGTATCGTGATTGGCTGAGTGGCCGCCTAGCTTCCGAAGTCGATCGAATTGTTCTTTCATGTTGCTGTTCTGAAGTTGAAGGTAAGAGTGATCTCTGCTAGGCATCTGTTGAGACTGGCGAGACCGCCATAAATTTAGAGGATGATCATCATCTTCAATGGTAGGCGTCCGGTAACCATCGGCATGAGGCACTCGATTCCGAGATACCAAATTTGGTTCGAAGGTGCTATCAGACATGTCGAAACCATCTGTTGGTAGTCAAGCAATTCATAGCCAAATTTCCGTTGCTATACATGCTCGGTTGCTCGAAGTGCAAAGAGAAATGCACAATAGTAGCTCTTGTGTTTGAGCATGTGTTCTAACTTTGAGCATCCGCGTGACATGTCTTTTGGACAGAAGCGATAAGCGCGATCGGGCCATCAAAAAAGCGCGAGAAGTCATCCGCCATGCTGTGCTAAGATTGATATCTTCGACATAGTGATAACGGGATTCCAATCAAGCACAGTTCACCAGAGGTCATGCGTGATCTACGATAATTAGTGCCGGCTCTCCGAGGTGGTTGGCCGAAAAGATTTCGGAGTCGTCCATGAACGGATGGACTCCAAGTTGCATGGATTTCAGACTTGCAAATTTTGATCAAGTAGATTCCCACTTCAAGATTGGTCGCAAAAACGCACACAGACTCGAGGGCACGTGGTCTAGGGGTATGATTTTCGCTTCGCATCTCGTTCCAAGAACGCAAAATGATGCCTGTGAAAGGTCGCGGGTTCAATTCCCGTCGTGTCCATTCTTTTTGCTTCGTCCTTGAACTGTGTTCTCGATAGAAAGGTGAGGTTTGCTTTTTGTTACTCAAGTGTTGGCAAATGAGAGGATGACGGACGAAAAACAGTTGCGGCATTCCATGAAGCTGCGGAGCGTAGGATGTTAGCAGCGGTATAAAACACGTGTCGCTGGGTGCAGAAGGAATTCCTGAATTACTCCTCAAAGCTCCGAAAGGATAATTGACAGATGGAAGCATGGTCATAAATCCATCAAGAGGAGTTTATCCCGAAAAGCGAACAGAAGTTGGACGAAGAAAACTGACATGAATACCAAGGCGGATAAGGTAAAAGTTATGTCCTGTCTAAGCAATTACTCAAGGCTACTGCCTACTGTGCACCTGCTTGCTTGTGGCCAAATAGAAATTTGATGAGGACCGAAATTTGTCAACTGCTCAGAACTACATTATACGTGACACATGGTTTTGAAAGACTGCTAATCCTCTTTCCACTTTTCACTACTAGATGGAAAGCTTCAGACAACTTTTCGAACCCGTCCGGTCTCAACCTCGTACACCCACCCACTGATAGCAACACTATCGGGCACAAGCTTACTACCTTTCAATAATGCAACATCATCCTCGACAGCCTTGTCCAGCTGGGGAAATGGGCCAAAGTCAATCTGTCGCTGCTTAAGCTCACTGTGGGCTTCAGGTCTGCATGCGTCCATCAGCCGCGATGCAAGAGCAACCTGCCGGTCAGTGAAGGCACGACTCACCCAAGATTTTTCTCAACAATCGCATAAGCATCGCTGTTCTCGAAAGTCAGCATTCCGCAACCGGTGTGCTTGATCAGTAAGATCTCCTGGGTGCCAAGGAGTTGCTCGGAAATGACGATCGAGCGGAAGGCGTCTGCAGCGTTGGCCCCGGCCTGGAGGTTGTCAGCTCGATACAGTCCGCCACAGTGTGCTACAGTAAAGTGCTCGCTAATCAGGGTACATTGAAGACGTCTTGCAACGCCTCAGTAGCTTAATCACGACTCTATGGCCAAGCATGCGGTAGTAGATGTGCGTGTTTGATGGCTGTTGCTCAATGGTCAACTCACATTCCGAATAACATGTGCGTCCCCTAGATCAATTCCAAAGGCAGCAGCTGGGTCAATTCTTGCGTCCATACACGTCAAGACCAGATACTTCTTCGAGGGGGGGAGTGCCAAATGCCCCTTATCGAACGTCGAGACATATTTCTCATTACTCTCACTCAGATTCTTTTGAACTGATGTCGCCATCTTGCACGGACGATACCCTTCTAAGCTTTCTTGCTCGTCTTTTTGGTGTTGTTCGAGAAGTCCTGTATAGGTGGTGTCGATGCACGACTGTTGGCAAGCGGCGGATCGACGTTGCTCAGCAGTGTCGACGGGTACGAGCTGAAGGGCGATGCTTGAATCTGTGAATATGAGAACGTATCGCTGAGGACATCAACGATGCTAGAAAAGACAGAAGAATTGCTAGAAGTGGAGGATGATGATGAAGAAGACTTCCGCGAGGACGACATGTCGTAGACCAACGGTGTCAGTTTGTGCCAATGGATCTGGGACGGGAGAGCTCAAGCCTCTGATATGTTTTTGATGCCGAGTGGTTAGTTCGGAGGTCAATTGAACAATCATGATGTTAGATAAAGGGCAGTATGGCGCGATACACTCTAGTGTCATGCTAAACATGCTTTGATTGCTTGAGGTGCGCCTTGATTTGTGTTCATGAACGGTATCAATAAAGAGGGTCACGCTGTCTCCAAGCATTCGTGCATGAGGGTCAATGGCGTGCTTGTATTCAGGGCTGTCGTGATACTTGGATGCGATGTTCCATAATCAGGCCCAACGCAATCCGGCGCCTGTCCACACATGTCCGTGTGTCGTCGTCGAGGCAGAGAATGCAGAGTAGAAACAGCGTCAAATGCGTAGAGGAGGTCAAGGAAGGTCCCACACTAAGGGGTCGATCTGACTTCTTGTTATGGTGCCCGTGAAGCCGAGGAAACGAGCAACTCAGACACTTCCGGAGATTAGCGCCTAAAGATTGCCAACTGTAACGAATAAACCGGGAAAGAGCGGGCCATTATACAGACTCGGAGCGCTATTTTCCGGGCGTTAGCTGGGACATGATGGGGGACAAAAACATCAGAATTATAATCACGGTTGCAGAACACATCAAATTCACATTTTGAAGACTGGAACTGTTCAATTAACCAATGAGCATCAATACTTTTGCTACAAACCTCATCCAGAATCACAAAAACCTACAACGCCATGCACAAATCATAACGTTTCGAAGCATAAAAGCAGAAGGATGCTCAAACAGCTCTCGAGACCATGTGAACCATGCTCACATTCGACAGCTTTCCTAGAACCTCGCCGGTGCACTCGCCTGACTCAAATTACTAATATCCCTTCCGTCCCTGTTCAGCATGACTCCTCTCCGGGCCACCGACCTCGGCGTTTTGACCCTTCCGCTCTCTTCGTTTTCCACTATGTTCAGCTTGCGCATGTTGTCACTCCGTGCTCGATCCCGTCGAGCTCGAATCTGTGCCAGAGCTGCTTCGCGAGTTATAGGCGTGCCGGGGAGCATGATGCTGGATTGGTGCGTGTTTATGGCGCTTTCAACCTGTGACTGAGCGCCGTGGTCAAGGAGGTCGGTTGAGACGGGCTGCGTGTGGGCGCGATCGTAGGTCTGACATGTTTTTTCAGGGCTGAAGACATCGTCGTCCTCAAAGCCTCTGAGCGGAACCATAGTTGTTGTAGTTGAGGTTTGTGTTTGCAGCTGGTGAAGTTGAGAGTGGGATTGGATATGAAATTGTCGGTGCTGACGCTCAATCCTCGATTTCGGCGTTATTGGGAAATACGTTGCTGTAGATGGGGATGTCGAATCTGGAAGAGTAGTACCAGGAGTAGGTGAACGTGCTCGAGAACGCTCTCTATGACGAGAGCGCGACTGTTGTTGAGTAATCGCATTCCGAAGAGGTGAGGTCTCGCCTTTCAGAGGGACTTGGACTGATCTGTGTCGTGGCGGGGAAGTGGTAGGTGTCAGAGAGACATTGTGCCGTGGAGAGGCAGGGACCATGCGAATGGGTGAGTCGGTTGTTCGAATGCCCATGACTGTTGATGGTCGCGGTGGCAGGTGGTGTCTTGGAGGCGCAATATCGAAGAGGTCGTCAGTTGTACCGACTGGAATCGCACTGTGTGACTGTCGTAGCACGGGAGTTTGAAGTTCGAGGGGCTTTCTACTTGATGTCGATGTTGAGAAGGCAAAGTGGTTCGAGGTAGCGGCTGGCTCTGGCTCAACCATGACTTGTGTCATATCTTCCAGGATGGCTGTTGGCTCCAGGTCATCGCTGTGGGGCGATGGTAGAGGTATTTCTGCTGCTTCTTCAAGAGCAACAACACCTGCAGTGGTATTTTCGGCCATTGTTGGATACTCGGACAGAGCACGTAGCGTGCTATCGTCCTCTAGCTGTATCTCCAGCTGTTCGGCCTGGTGGTCCTCCTGCTCTGGCAGAGGAGTCATAGCCACATCTTCAAGCAGATTCTCCTGTTGCGGAGGCTCAGCAAGAGTCTTGCCCTTTCCCAAACCAAACACCTTCTTGAGAGAGATGTATTGCGGTAATGGCAATTCATCTTCAGCCTTCCTCTTCAGGCCTTTAGCTTCAGCCAATGCCTTCTGTCGCTCATCGTATTCATGGTCGTGTACAAAACGGATACCAGTATTTTCAGCCTGTCGGCAAGGGCAGGCTCGGAACTGGCACTGCATGTTCATGAAGTGGACCAAATCTTGTTCACGCTTCAACTGGCTTCTGACCCACGCCAACTCATCCTGCAGCTCTTGCATCTCTTCTGACTCGGTCGAGCCGAAATCTTCAATAGTTGGCTGTTGGTTTTCGGAGCAGGTACATGCAGCCGGACGCTCAGACGCTACCTCTTCTTCTTGGGTTGTCTCGAGCTTAACCTGTACACCGATCTCACAACACTCAGGTCTTACTTCTTCCTGTGTGGCAAGACTTAGACTGTTCTGCAGAGCCTTCAGAGCCTCATTTTCAGTCTGGAGCACATCTCTCTCCTTCTTCGCAACCTCCAGCTCCTCCATATTGCTCGCCAGAGTTCTGGCTCTTTCAAAAGCCTCCTGCCTAGCCTTCTCCTTCGCTTGCCTCTCGTGCTCAGCTCGTGTCTTGAAACCTTCTTGTTCATTTCTAGCCTCTCGTAGCTCTTCTTGACACTTGATCAGTGCCAACTCAGATTTATACTGCATTCTATTCAAGGACTTGATCTCTTTCTCGTATGCCTGCTTTTCATGCCTCACTCGCGCATGCGCACTGGTGAGCTGCTCCATAAGCGACTCGACACGTTCTGCCACCAGGCGTTCTCGATTTCGTGACTGCTCAAGTTGAGCTTGTAGAGACTGTATCAGACTCGCCATCTCCGATGGATCAGCAGGCAGAGAGAAGGTGCTATTAGCTCGGCTGTGCGATTTTGTGGGCGAGTAATACGCAGATCTAACCGGACTTCTCGTCGGCGACCCGGCTATTGCAAAGCTATTGGTGTGGGTGTTGCCGCTGCCATTGTGGCTGTTTGATATGTTGTTCAAAAATGCTATTTTCGATCTGACATCGGTTGTAACACAGATCTCCGAATCACGGCGTCTGGGTTGAGGCTCGGCATTCTCGTTGAGATAGGCTGGCACCGAGGGTGATTGAGGGATGCGCAGCTGATTAATCCGATCCGGTGAAACCTGTTGTAGAGGTTGAGATATGTAGTCTTGCTCCATACTGACTCCTGCGACTACTGTTGATGGTATTCGTTATTGCATTGGTAGTGTTATGATAGGCATAAAATGTTGACAACCTCGTCGGCGGTCGAAGGTTGTGTGTCTGCAGTAGTGAATTGATTATTGTTTACATTCTTCACGGATTTGGCACTGGCGCCGGCTTAGCGCCAGTCTAGCCCCACGTGATGTGGCGCTACTTGCTGTACTCGCGCTTTCCTG